CAAAAACACACTAACGCAGTTGATAACCACTAAGGGAAACGCATATAAACATCAAGGCATTTTTTCATCCCTAACAATTAATAGATAAACGAATAAAAATAAATGATTTAATTTTCGGAACGCAAAAGATACAAACTAGATCAACAAGGAGATGTTCTACCTGACGGTGACTCGTGTCCTCGACAGACGTGGGACGTGATGGGTTCACCTGCACTTTATTGACAGGTGACACGATATTTTCTCACTCCCGATGTAACTTGTCCTTGAATGGCACGAGATACCAGTATACATGGACCTTAATGTATAAATATTTATTAATCGTCCATAGATAGGTACATGTGTACCGTTAACCTGTCCCTTACTCTCGGGAACTACATGTATATCTAGAGTTTTTGTGAACAACTTAAATAGAGCGTGTAGAGAAAAACGTTGACAGCAAAACTCAGAGCACCAATATAGATTTAGGAAAAAAAAATATATATATATATATAGATTTACGGTATAAAATGAAACAAAAACCTGAATTTTGCACACAATCTTCACAGTCAGTGCGTTTTTTCTATTGACCCATTAGAGCCTGCGTCATCAAAACAAACGGCAGCCATACTGGAGGGAGACCGGAATCGTCTGCTGCGCATGAACAAGCCATGTCTGTAGTTCAGTTTTCGTTTTCTGTATTTTCTTTCATATTTAACCGAGCAAAATGATGAATTACTGCAGGGTATTTGATCGAGAGAAGGTAACTAACTTTAAAAGCGTTCACAGACTGCCTGCAGTGGTAGCAATCCATGGTGAAGGAACTAAAACCATAAACGGAGGAGAGACGGCGAGGTGGCATTGAATCAAGACTCTTGGGAAAAGTAAAGGATAAAACTAATTTATTTTATAGCAAAGAATGAAGAGCCAACTGTGCAGATTTTACCATAAAAGAAAAAACAGTAGAACACCAAAGACCTAGGTGTGTACGTTTGGGGCGCACGTATATATTTAAATTAGTGCCCAAAAAGTGTGAGTGGAGAGTGTGTTAATTTGTTAAGACGTGTGGAAATACCCAGGCAGGGTTTCGACTTTTATAATGAAGACTCACCTATTGCCTTGGGTGTAATTTGTTATCAGTTACGGTGCTCTCTAGATTTTATCGGCTGTCACCTACCTCTTTTCTACCTGGTTAGCATTATTCCCAATTAGTGTCAAGGCTATATTTGTACTGTACACAGCTGAGCTGGGCCAATTAAATCAATTACCTGTATGAAGTGTATTTGGAAGTTAGTGGCTTAATTTTCGATTTGGTGTAGTGATAAGAGTAATTTTATTTTGCAAGTTAATTCTACCTCAGGTGTTATTGACGTATAACTTTAATAACCTCATGAAATAATTTTGCACTTTCCTCTGTAAAAATGTTAAATTCTGCTCCTTTCAACTGTTATGTTGTAAGTTATAATATGAATAAAAATCACTATTGTTATCTTTCTATTAATTTACATTTAGGAAATTGATCAGGCATTTCCCACCAAGCCACACTGATTGGGTGCAAGTAAATTATATTAAAAAAAAAACGGAAGCTTTTGATGACAGGTACAAAAGGCAGCTAGATGACACACAAGGTAGAAGCAGCAAAAAATATTCATAGATCTCTGTGACCAGCTGAAGAGACAGGATCTGAACATCAGGAGAGTGAAATCCAGTGCATGACAGGAGTTATTTAATTTAAGCGACACTCAGAACTGAGCATTTCATGTTCACTTTTATTCATACAAAATGTGCACTTTTCCTATATGTTTAAGCAAATGGTTGCAGAAATCAGTTCATGAACTGAATTATTGTTATTTTACATTGGACATCATAAATACATAAGTGTGAAAAATGCCTTGCTTCTGTGAATGACTGAATAATAATAAAATCCTAACAATGTTGCTTATATGAATGGTTGCATTCATGGTGAATATTAAACTCTCTCAAACAACAGTCTCGTTACATGTACTTTCTAATGAAACAAAATGAATGCTGAAATAATTTAAAAAGTTGATGATGGTATAGAGCAAATGTTCTGCATACTTTACTTCTGTATAAACAATAGCATCTGAAAATCCCCAAAGACATAAGACAATCATACATTCTTCCTTGAGTCCACAAGGGTTTATTCTGATGATCAGCTCAAATTTCTTATATCTATCCTTTATGAAAAAAGTTGCTTCTATTTAAGGTTAAACTTATGATTACACATTAAACTCTCTCAAACTATAACTGTTATTACCCAATGAACAAGAAAAATGAAGTACAAGATAACTGAACTATCTTCTGACAACACGATGTTGGGTAAGTAGCATTTAGTAGGATTTCACGTTTTTAGACTGTCTTGAGTTCATAACGGTCGATCCCGCTGATCAGCTGAAGCCTCAGCTTGTATATATCCTTTTCCCTTTGGTGTCCTTGATCGTGATATGAAGTTTACTTTATTTTATTTGGTTTACCTATATTTACGCTACTATTCCCAGCCCTTCATTCCCTCCAGCATGGCCGCGGGACTAGTGTTACGGAGCAAATATGACGTCACTGTAACGGGTTAATTTGCACGGCACGCGCATGTACAACTGCAGCATTAGTTTTTAGGGGCAATAAGCGCTTGAAATTGCGGAAATAACTGACACATTTAAATTTTAAAACCTTGGAAGTCGTGAGAGTCACATTTTCTGGTTTTAGTTTTACTTTGCTTTAAGACTAAGGCACAGCACACAGAGGTAAGCAGACCGGGATTCCAAAAACTGGCATTTCTCTTTTCCTTGACATGATTATTCGTTCTTTGTGAATTCGCTCATTTACTGATGGGGTTGATAGAGTAAAATGAATGTACTGCCACAGATTGAGTAGTTTATTTGACTTTTATGAAGCAAATGACAAAATACATTTTTAACTAAAAAAGAGGAAAAAAATGTCATGGAATTTCTTTGCACGTAACCTGATGTTCCACAAATTGTTTCGGCATTAGTCACAAAATAACCAAACACACGCATACCTCACATTAACTGAAAACAACAATAAACATTACAATAATAATTATCGGCAGGTGACAACCAAAAGTACCTAATTTCTTTTTCTTTGTGGTCTTTCCAGACACATGATGTGCTCTTTTCTAATCAAGAAAAGGTGTCTTATGATTGTAAAATTGAGAATATCAAGTAAATCTTTTGTACACCAAGAGCGTGTATGTCCTCCCTTCCTTCCACAACTTGGTAAGTAAACATGTTTTTAAGTTTCACTGTCCTAAGCCTAAGGTACTTATTAAGTATAAACTACCAGTTGGGTTTGGATTGGAAATTCATGTTAGTTAGGACAAGTGGCATTTATATTCTAAACTGTTATTTTACTCCATCTCAGTTGAGTACAGGAGATCAGAGTGGGGTGCTAGAGTTAACTGAAGGTTATCCAGTTATTACTATGGAAAGTCTAGCTTCTGAATTCTGCACATTCTTACAGAAATTAGTTAACAAAATAAAAAGATTTAGTCCAGTGCAAGCATTCTGTAACTAGGCCCCTAACTCTACACATCCTAGGAAGCACCACAGCAATCACTACATGTAACTGTCAGCACACATATTTTAACTGTATCCTCACATTTATACATTATATTTGCATTGACCGCACTGCCCTTTGACAAAAATAACATATTTACACTATAAACAAAAATACACCAAGGACCATGACACTGTACAATATTTGATCCTAGCCATTCAGTATGCAACAGAGAAGATTTCTCCAGAAAACTTTACATATTTACATTACTAAGCTCTACAATTTGCACAATTACAATACACGGATCGGTTAACGATATGAAAAGTTTACTAAGACATGTGCCACAATTAAAGATCTAAACACATTTCTGACAGTGAAATACCTCTCCTATGAATATGAAATTGAACTCTGACACATATCTGATTCCATGTAGCACAGTAAACTCTTACATATAACATGGAATATGGAATTGAAACTATAATGCACAGTGGTCCCAGGTAAATTTTTTTTTCTTCAAATTGGATGCAAAAGATATACATAAAATGTGTGGAATAAACATATCCATATCTCAATTTTGAAATCCTGGCGCTGCTAGTGTGTGAAGCAGTCATCCTGACATAACATTTACCACAGAGAATATGGCTTCAGGGTGGAGGAATTAGTTGTTCTGGTTTTCCTGGAATCCGTTCTATCTACCTACTACTGCACTAGAGGGACTACTCATATTTAAAGATCAAAGTGCACTAGAGGGACTACTCATATTTAAAGATCAAAGTGATACACAAATGAAAATAACATTAATAAATAACTAAACATAACTAATGAGACAGCAGCTACATGCAGTAAAATGAACCAGGCATGAGCAACCACAGCTCTCACTGTCTTCAGACTGGCTTGGTTATCTCTATGGCATACAGTCAACACTTATAAATTGTCTATTAATTTACCTGACAACAGGTGCTTCATCGTCTCTTTTATACATGCAAGCAACATGGCTTTACATTAACACTGTCACTAGTTACCTACTATCACATCTGCAGTATTGATCATATAGCTGATATATACAAGTACATGTACATCTGTAATGCTGTCAACATGTACCATCTTAATACACACACCAATACGCTTAATTTTCACCATAGACTAGAAAACACGATACTTTTGCACTTGCACTGTGTACCCACTTTGAAAGTTGTGCTAATCCAAATCAACTTGAGACTAGAAATACACCCATTTAGAACTTTTCTGTGCCTTTGTGATTACACCCACATCTTATTAATGTACAAAGGTTCCTCCTTAATAGCCCACTTCATGTATTTTAATGCTTTTTAGTTACCCCTTCACTATACATTAAGAGAGAAATGAGCAAACATTACAATATTTCCATAAATAATAAAAAATCAAAACATGGGCACTGTTTTGCAGTCTTCTGTGCACTTTGATAGCAGGTGTATACCCCCCCTCCCTCCCACTCCTCCCTTCCCCAGGATTTTAAAATAGGAGGGCCACTCTGTAGGTCATTTCATGGCACTGGATAATTCAATGTTTTTCTCTCTGCAGTTTATCTAGGGGAGAAAATCTATGATGGATTTCACAAAACACTTGATCATTCTACGGGTCTTAAAGCAATGGCTGCTGGGATAGCAAGTAGTGCTCTGATGTTCTACTGGGGTGCTTTTCTATATTGAATGTATCACTAACGCCATCTATAGGCAGGTGTGGAAATGTAGCAATGGTCAACATGGACCAGCAAGTTCATCCCTGATTTTACAAATATTTGGAAGAATTTTGTAAGGATATCAGTCAGTAGGTCAGTCTGCCGGTCAGTTAAGTGAGGCTGACAGTCCATCATTCCCAGCCAACCAGGATGTCCTCTGAGCAGGGAAACCAGGATTTCTACTGGAGATATTTGTAGATCTTGAAGCAATGGTTGCCAGAGTCAGAGACCACCACATGTCCGTCACTGGTCACTGCCACTCCCTGGGGACCATACAGGGGGTCCGTCTGAGTGTTCACAAAGGCCAGGAAGGAACCATTCTGGTCAAATACCTGGGAAGTAAGATGATATATCTCAGAAAAACTGGACAAAGTGTGAGCATGGTACTGATATTCATAAACACCAACAGTTCGCACAATAAAATGTATTAATATTTTTAAGATTTAAAGTTTTTACTGGTAAAAAGGCAATGATTTATGAATCACTTTACTTTTCCAATAAAAATTAAATGTGATTAAATTAAATTAAAAGAAAACAAATGAAACAATTTTCAGTGACTTAATGAGATTAAATTAAAAGAAAACAAATGAAACAATTTTCAGTTACGAAAATCAATGTTTTCAAAATACAAGGTAGGAGTATTTAAACTGAGATAATTAACTAAATGAAAATGACAAAACAAAACACAAAGCTGTCCCCACCTGTAGCCTGGAGTTCCCCCAGTCAGCCACAATGATGTTGCCCTGTTTGTCTACAGCCACCCCTGTGGGTGCATTAAACTGACCCATGCCCTCTCCATTGGAGCCAAAACTGAACAGGAACGTTCCCTCACAGTTGAACACCTTGATACAGTGGTTGTGGAAGTCAGAGATGATGATGTCATTGTTGCTGTTGACTGCTACGTAATGTGGTCCAGCAAACTGGTTCTCCTCGTTACCTCTGGTACCAAACTTGTGGAGGAGTTTCCCATTAGACTGGAAAATGTAAATGCTGCTTCCTTTGTTGTCCACAACAATGATGTGACCATTGTTGTCCACTGCGACACCCTTGGGCCCAATAAGCTTTCCTGTTCCGATCTTGTTGAGGTATTTGCCATCAGGAGAGTATATGCTGACCCATTTGTTGTCGTAGTCTGCCACTAAGTAGTTGCCGTTGGCGCTGACTGCCACTCCCGTGGGGCGCTGTACCTGCCCCGGGCTGCGACCTCGAACACCAAACTTCATCTTGAAATCCCCCGAGTTAGTGAAAACCTGCATGTACTGATTGTTGCTGTCAGCCACGATGATCAAACCTTTGGGAGTGGTGCACAGGCCTTGGGGATTGCTGAACTCCCCTCGGTTCCTCCCCTTGGCGCCAACTCTCAATATCAAGTCATCATCAATGGGGTTACTTCTCCTATTTGACGACTTTGAGCTGGGTGGCCGCTTGGTTCCCTTCTGCTTGACGGCTAGCGTCTTGGGAATCTTGCTTGCACTGAGGGGTCTCTCACCACTGGCTGGGGGTGGGTAGGCCTGGACACTGAAGGGAGATCCCTTGATTTGTTGACCATACAACCTGATCTCCAGCTGATAGGAGCCATCACTCGGCACAATATACGTGAGGTCATAGGTACCGTTGTTCTGGTCTATGACAGTAGGAGTGAAGACTTCACCATTTGTTGATGTGATCTGTGCAGTGAGTGAACAGTGGCCGACCTTGAGCAGTTCTCCATGGCGGTTCTTAGTGGTGACAGACAACATGGCTTTCTTCCCTGTGTAACACCTGCGCAGACCTTCTCCAGATGCTGTGGTCTCAAACGCCACCGCGCTGTTGGTTTCCACTTTGCCAACTTTCTCCACTACTTCAGCAACATCTGAGAAATTGCAATCGACAAAGCTGAGAGATGGATTCTCCTCAGGCATACACTGCACCTCTAGAGCGGAGAGATCGCTAAGTTTAGCTGTCATCTCTTTCCTCATAAGCAAGATATCTGTCTCACTGCCATGAGTGAGAGCTTTTTCTGTCAACTGACAGCAGTCATTGATATTAGTCAGAATGTCCAGGAGAGTTTGCTTCTGTGAATGTAGGGTAGCTTGCTTTACTTTGTGTGTGGACTCCAGGTCTGAGAGCAACTTGTTTCTTCGCTGATCGATGAGTTCATTAAGTGCATCGAAGGCATCACTTATCTGCATCTCTGCCTCCTTGAACTTATCACAGAGCGCAGTGGACACACTACTGACCACAGTAATGGCGTCTTCGATCACAGGGATACGGGCCTGAGCATTGTGGATCAAATTCCTGAGAGCTGATTGGTGTTCCTGTATGGCGTCTTCCATTGTCGTAATTCGGTGGTCGTGATGCTCCAGCGCTGTGCACTCCTCACATACTGCGGTATCACAGGAGGCACAGTAAAACTTTAACAACTCTCCCTGATGGTTGGGACACACAAGCTGGGGCAGCATTCCTTCTTTAGACTCAGAAGGTGATAATTTATCCAGGCTGACTAGATCATGTGTCTGTAAGTCAACATCTTGTTTGTGTAGCTGTGAGCAGGATTCACAGAGTGAGTGGTTACAGTTTGTGCACTTTGTCTTGGCCACAGCACCACTGTCACAGCTGGTGCACAACTGAGGGTTCTCCAGCATCTCCATCAGGTTATTAATAAGGAAATTTGACTGTAGTCCTGACACCCCTTCCTGGGGTAATATTGACTGCTGCCTGCACAGAGGACAGCTAACAGAGAGACTCTCCAAGGGAATGTAATCGTAGAGACAGAGTTCACAGAAGGTGTGTAGACAAGGCAGTACCTTGGGGTTGGTGTACTGCTGTAGACAGATACCACAGCTTAGAAACTGCTTGTGGATTTGTTTGACCACGTTAATGTTGCTGGCCATCCTGGTGGAGTTAACTGTTGCCATGACGACCTGGAAAGATAAAACACAAAATTAAGTCTTTGTTATTGGGTAAGGTTGCTATGGTGGTACAGGTATTGATGTCACCTGTTTACATTGGGATAAATTGTGACTGAAACCGAACTGACTGGCACCAACTTATGACCAGTCGACTGAGCAGTAGATTTGGACCAGGAGCAGGGTTTAACTCTGTGTAATCTGGAACCTGATAATGTCAATAAGTCTATTCTTCTTCTAAGACAACCCTGTGAATACAACCAAGTATTAAGATAACAATACTGAGCTCGTGGAAATGACTGGTTTTCCTATACTACATGACCTGTAAAGATAAACTGTGGGAAGTAACATCTGTCTGGATAACATGTTAACATCTGAAATAAAGATGATTGGTTCTCATAATGGATTCATTATACTTATATCCTATTGAACTGTTCAGTTAAAAAAATAAATGTTGCAATATATGCTTTTGTCATTCCCTTACATGCTTTTATATGGTTAAGCATCCACAGCAATCTTAAAGAGCACATCCAAACACAATCAGGATGTTAGGTACATCTATCACAATCACAATGCATCTTGTGGACAGCTGAAGATCTCTTCTCTCATATCACAGTTCACAACATGTAGTCTAAACAATGAAATGTGGTTTACAAGTTTTATCAACCTCAGCCTTTTTACTTCACAGAAAATGTACAGATAAACTTAGAAAGCAACTTAACATTATGTAGTTTCACTACTGCTGGTTGAATTCTGTGACCAACAACATACAAGTTTTTTTTTATGATGAAATAAAGTCTGCTCAACTGGATAGATCTACATAATCATGTTAAGCCTATCTGAAGTAATATTCACTCTGAGAAAAGAACTAATTCAGTCTGATGTGTGCTGTTAATGAACTTAGTTAAATCTATCAGAAGGTGCTAGAACCAATTATATTGAAACACACATACAGAAAAATCTTCTTACTTTTTTTCTATAAATTACTTGAAACACTGATTGAGTTACCTTTGAACAGTGCAAATCACACTCCAGTGGCAATACACTGGCTCAATACTGCAGTTCACAAGTCCTTCCTTCTCTTATTGCACAATACAAAAATATAACCAGCCATTTCAAGGCCTTCAGTAAGATGTCACCTCCTGCTCTGAGAAGCACCTTTCTGACCCATTGTACACAGAATAATCTTTTGATTCAGCAATTTTGTCCTTATATCTAACTCCAGTCAGGCTACAGGCAATAGAGCAGTAACTTTAGTTGACAAAGTCTGGTGTCATGGGGTCAAGCCTCTTGACTTAAGCCTAAACTCAAGCATTCAACTACATAAACCCTGCGTCTCAGCATGCCGTTGACCTGTACATGTCCTCTATTGAAAGCGCTGACAATTTTGTGTCTCAGATTTGTCAAGGTAACAATGTATTTCTCATGCAGACTTATTACTTGACTAATGGCAATGTAGTCTGTTGGAGAACAAAATCACAGCTGCTTGCTCTTTTATACAACACTCCCCACTCTGTGAGACTGAACTGAAAATTGATCAATCTTTATAATCTTAGGAAGTATTTAATCCCCAGAGCAAAGTTTCTGGTTTTATCCTCACTGCAGTTGCTAATAATACCCCATCACTGGAGTAAGAGGTTGTGACAAATATTGTTAAATTCATAAGCTACAGGTAATTCAGTGACTGTAATACAATGAAATACAGGATCCACTTTACATGCTGTGTTCTGTCTCTCTTCATACCATAAGTTAAGTTTATTAGAAGAAAAAATCTTGTATCTTGAGAAAATGGGATCTGGTTATTTCCTACCAAGAAGTCAACACACCTGGTCGTTGCACTACTTCTTTTCATTCCAGTGACGATAGGGATCTTCACCTTAAGAGACCAGATTAAATCTCTAGGTGTTTCTAAAGTCAACTTGCTCATTTGTAATATACAATAAGAGACACTTCAAAAATCATACCTACACTAAGTCTTTGAAAAATATTTGAAAACATACATTCATATTAACAAAGAAATAATAACTCTGGCCACTCAGACAGAGGTATTGATAAACCTTAAATTTTAAAGTCCATTATATGATTCTGACATTTCAGCAGGCTTTCATGATCCTGGCAGACTAAAGAAGCTTATTGAGAAAAATAAGACCTGCGTAAGATCTTTTTCTCTTTATCTGATGAAAAAAAGTGTGACTCACCTTAAGAGGTTAGGATAAATCCTTTAAACCTTTTCAATCCATAAGTCAACTCACTAAACTCTGGCATTTAGTAAGAGTGACGGTTCAGTGACTGTGACATTCAATGACCGTAAAACGCTGAATGACTTTTGACAAAATATTGGTGACAGCCGAGTGATTGTGACGGGCAAAGTGAACAGACTGTGTGGCCACGTCAGGACAACACCACCATCAGATTTCAGCCGCTTAATCCAGCATGATTTAACTTAAGAACCTTAACAACAAGTGTCGGGTTTAACTTTATGCTATCTTTATGATAACATATACAAAGAGTGTTTTTAAATGCTTGGCCTCTTGTATTGCATTGCATAGCCACAGGCGATCACCACTAGTCAAGGTACTTCAATAATTCTATTTGAAAATCTCATCATTTATTCCACCTCTATGATAAAAACAGAAATGAAGGTGTCATTTGACCATTGTTGAACTTAATTTAATTGAAGGCCTGTCCTGACGCATTTTTCACCTTTTTATTCATACAAAATTAAAGTGAAAGAAAACAACCTGGGGGTATTTCTGTGTGTATGAATATATCAGCCTTACCACACACTTTCTTACTGATGTGTCTTAAGTCAAATGGCACTTGTTTGGGTTTAATATCTTCAAAGAGTTTGTTACTGCTGAACTGCCAACTTCACAAAACTTTCAAAAAACTGCTGTGGTAATAAATGTTGCTTGAATGTTAAAAAGTCTAATTTCATGTTTTTCTAGCAAGGCTACGCCTATTTTGACAAATCACTTCCTCCAAGTGCAGCTGTTTTCACACGTTAGACACAAGTTCTGTTACCTTTGAGAACAACTTCAAAGCTCAATGTTGCTTTGTGTAATCAAATTAATGTAGACATTAAGTTTTATGTGCAAAACAAGACTTTGCTCTCACAAACCTCTATTAAAAGCAAAACTTTGCTCTAACAAGCCTCTATTAAAAAGACTTCAAGTGAAGTTTTCCCATTTAAAAAGACATTATACCAGAAGAAAAAAACACACAAGTTTGAGAATGATGCCAACTTGCATAAACATTAATACACATAATGTTCCTTATTCAATTGCTAATGTATTCAGTGTCAGAAAAAAAAAACAATGAAAAAAATGAAATGAAACTCAAAGATAATTTGATTTAAAATGTCACAAATCTAGAGGGACAATCTATTGTTAATCATGCTACCAATAAAGCATTTACAATTTTTAAAAAAATATTATAACAAAAACGTAGCAAAATGATACATATAGGTAAATACACAGGTTGGTTGCTCATACCTTCCATATCATCAAACTTGCTAAAACACCTGCACATAAAAACTGAAACAAGTTGAAGAAATTCTTATTCTGTTACCTGCAGCTCTTCCAAAAACTGGTTCTTGTCTGGCCACCTGTTATAATCCATTCTCACACCTGATATCAGAGAAATCTCCTTTATGTCTGTCACTAAATGTACTTTTCTTCTTTCAAGTGTCCTGATCATATGTTATTGAGGATATTTTCCACTTAAAAACTGCTGCGTTAGTCTTGTTATTCAGATATCATATACAGATTTGCCCTTGATGTCACCTACGCTTGGATTAAAGTGGGTAAAAACTGAGACAAGCACATCCCACTCTTCACTTAAAGTTCTCTGTCCTAATGCACTGTGAAAAAGCTTTGATAATAATATATATAAAAAACTACTACAGAACACTGTTAAAATGATAAACTTCTGTCACTGGGTGCCCAGTGAAGCTCTCTAGTGTTATCCACAAAAGTCTCCCTTCCTACTGCAACGCCAGCCTTATATACTGCAGGCCTGTCACTAGTTCCCCTCCCCTAACAATATATGTACTACATCAACTCTGACTTTCCCTCCTCCTCCAGTACATAGAGCACCTGTCCCACTTCTACCTAGTATTTTATCATTTTCTCTTGAGTGACTGCTACTTATTCAGTCCCAGCCAACCAACAGGTGCTTTCATATCTGTGGATATATAATATACACACCCTATAATTCAGGATGCTTATTGGTACAGTACTGCTATCAAAACATGTTCATCTGGTTGTTTTCAACAAACAAACTGCCCAATGGTCACTGCCCAGTGGTCAGCGGGCTGTTAAGGACAGTGGTCATAGCTAGAGACCATAGCACCAGCTGAACTGAGGTGTACGCAATAGTGGTTTGGATGAGTTTGTGTAGTACAAAAACTTCAACAAATACTCTGTTGTTATCCTCCACGATGTGACACTTCATAACAAAACCTTGTGGTCAGAGTTTTCACTGAACTTACTGTGCTACCTGTCAGCCTTTGTAGTACTGGATATCACTGGAATAATATGTGGTCACAACACTTTGTCTACAGACTGAGATGTTTATCTTTATTTGTAGATCATAGTGTAGTGGCACTGTTATACTTACATGTGGTCAACCTCCATTGAACTTTGCTACTGATATCCCCCTTGGGGGTGGGGGGTGGGGGGGGGGAGTAGCACGTAGCACATAACCTGACACTGATAGGAATTAAGTGTGTGTGTGTGCATACGTGTGTGTGTGTGTGTGTGTGTGTGTGTGTGCATACGTGTGTGTGTGTGTGTGTGTGTGTGTGTGTGTGTGTGTGTGTGTGTGTGTGTGTGTTGAGAGAGAGGGATATAGAGCATTTTAAACTTCTTTTATATTATATAAGCCTACTAAATATCTACTCCAGTACAGTTTAATACCTGAGGTAAACAGGTACTTGTGATAATTGTGCGTCTTGTAATGATTTGCTTATTTGTCAAGTCTAGGAAACCTGCAATGTGTATATTTTTGTCTGG